GCAGAATGCAAGGAGCAGGGGCCTCGTGCCTTCTGTCTCCAAATATGTTCTATATTTCTAACAATTTTTGATTTCTGTACCCTAGTGTAAAGAGCTGGAGAATCCAATGGTGCTGCATAAACAGTATTAAAAACAATTTCACACTCATCAACAATGTAAAAACCCCATGCATGTGATTGCCACTTGATATAAAACATATCATTAAAAATGCATTATACGTTTCTTAACGCACCAAATGGCGTGCTAATATAGTTATTTGTTTTTCACTCCTGTGGATATCATTTGGATGAATACAATCTAACGGACACAACGTGTTTACAGTTCCCTGGAAATAGGCTTGGCCCCTCCCCCTTTTCTTCTCTGCACATTTGCACAACTCCCTTTACAGGGAAAGTAGTTTTAGCATGAGGTCTTTCAACGCCAGTGTTCATAGAACAGCTTGTTTTGGTTAGCAACCCCTGCAGTTGTTAAAATTACAGGCAAGGTGAACTTAGTTCATCCATCTGAGTGTGACCTTAAAACAGTGACTGTCAAGTCTGCAGCTATTTCCCTGACAGCTGCCATATAGTAGAGTATCCGTATAGTAAGTTAGATAACAGTTTATTAAAAAAGTGACTTCATTTGAAGATAAACAACTAGGGATAGAGTTAACATGGCAACAGCATGTGTTTCATTAGAAGCAATATTCATCAACTGTACTGTTGAATAATTAACATTTTCTGTCCATAGCATCCAAACAAGATATCTAGATAATGTATACTTAAAAATGCATTAAATACAGCAAAGTGGAAGCCACCCCTCCTGCTTTTGTGGTGTATTCCAGTCCCAGCATTTTATATGAGAAGCAAGAAAAAAACAAAAACTCTGTGGCCATTGTTCTGTTACAATGCATGGTATCCCATGATGCTTGGCACAACACCTCCCGGTGACCAATGATATTAGGATTCATGTAACTAACTGGTGTAGTGCATCTGTAGCAAGGAGGATTGTTGTCTGGTCCTCTGCATGCAAAACTAAACTTGCTTTTTAAAGTGTTACAAGGTCGCAAAATAAATATTATCTCTTTAATATTCATAATCCATCATTTCAGACAAGAACACAATAAACAAAGTGTGATGAAATTATTATCCTGACTGTAAACAAAATACAAATATACATCTTGCACTGGCAAGCTTCTTGTTTGTGTTTTGCTCTACAGAACTTATTTACAGAAGTATCTGTATTTTGTGTACAATTGATAGAGTATTTACATGCAACACACTATGCAGACCAGCGCTGCACAACATATACTCCTAGTCAAGAAACCAAATGAGCAATGAAACTAGAAATGAGATATAAGGAATGCAAGCTGTAAGGTCACATAGTTGTCACTGTAGTTTGGAGCTATGCATACATGTTTGTTTATGTTGCAGAGCCAAGATATGCATCATGTACAGGAGTCACAGCAAATCGACATCCAAAAACGTAGCTCCCAAACCACAAAGCTAACGATCTGTCCATATATAATCTACTAATTGCCATTTTTAGAACCTGTATTAGCATCAAGGATTCAACTGAATGTAAAGAACTATAGTGATGAAATATTATTTCCTAATACTCGCATGTAGCAAAATATGATAATAATCAGTATATGAATTCATTTTTACTAAATGTGCCCCTATTTATATTTGATTCACTTCTACATGCAGACCAAGCAGCCCAGCAAACATGACAGTGACGGGGTCAAACTAAACTATAACACACCAATTATGATTTATGGAGCACCAACAGTTTGTGCGGAGCTTAACAATATAAATGGAGACAGTAAAGTTACAATACAATTCCAGGGTAGGAGGGCCCTGCTCTTGAGAGCTTACAATCTAAAAGAGAGAGGCAAAGGATACAAACAGTAATAACTGTATGGGGATGAAATGATGGGAAAAGTAAAAGTTCAGTTGTTAGGTAGAGGCGGGATAGACTTCCCTGAAGAGATGAGGATCAGGGATAACCTACTGCGATACCTCCTCGCAGTGTAAAGGTGCCCATACACCTTGCGAATATCGGCCGATTTTCGTATGTGATCGCGCTTTCATCCGATATTCATAAGGTTGATGGGCAGTGTACAACCGCAAATTATGTACAATCAATCGACTTTGACTAAGCAGGTTAGAAAACGGTCGATCGTACGATTTTCGCAAGGTTGGTGGCATTTCCGTACGTCACAATTCACATGCTCTACACTGCACATGCACAGACAAAAATACGCGCGGTCGATTACCGCAATTCGTCCAGGTGCTTCCTTCTAATTACCACTGATCCAACCTTGCGATAATCGGGGCAGGATGGGGCCACCGTACGAAAATCGTACGGTGGTTCGATCACACAAAAAGTGTCGTCCAATGATCGTAAGGTGTATGGGCACCTTAAGGCTCCAGTCACACCTAGGCGTATTGTCGCAGCCGATTCAACGCGACAAAACGCTCCGCCCGAGGAATCCCATTTATTTCAATGGCCCCCTGTTCACACCTGTGAGTTTTGTTGCAAGCTCGAAATAGTACATGAGCTACTTTGGGGCAGATTTCAACACGCTTTGTTCCACAGACTCAATAGAAAATGCTTAAAAACCCGCATTGCGATTTTTTTGCGTGCGTTTTGCCCCTTGACGTGGATGTGCCAAAATGTGCTAACAAAAACGCGCAAGAACGGCACAAAAAAGATGGGTGTAAAACGGGTGTAATAGGTGTAGTCTAGGTATGAATGGAGTCTTATAGTTTCTATGTAACCCTGTAACTGTCACTTTTTTGGGATGGCTTGGTTTGTTTATAATGTGGGGACATGATAAAGAATGGCACAGAGGACACAAAAAAGCAATTCGTATGGTGAATATGAATATGACATCTATCGTCCGCTATTATTAGAAAACATCAGATGTTTTATTCAAACATTGAATGACTTTCTGGGAAAAGTCACTTTTTTTATTGCCCTCCAAACTGATGGTCTCAGCAACTGCAGATCTAAAAAGCATGCATGTTACTAAATATGTTACTAAACTATGTGAAATGTGCCACAGATCCCAGACATGCCACTTCATATGTGACATAATGAGCCTCCTCCATACATATCATGACTTTATGTAAGCACACATCATAAAAATAGACTAATGGGTGGAACTTGTTTACAGACAATGCATGTCTATGGGACAAACAAATGACTGTGACTCACTGGACGATTGTGCTGTCACACAACACATTTGTTCCCTAATTTGTGTGTCAAAGTTACAAACATCAGCAAACAAACAAGCCTGTATTAAGCAGAAAAAAAAGCCCTTTCTCAGTGCACAGAAGAGGAATAAGCTTAGAGGAGGGGAAACCCATGCACTGTGCAGCTTTCCTTGTTAGACATGTTTTATCTAACATCCACCCCACACATTTCCCACAGAACTGAACAATAACAGCGTGTCTACAAGCAAAACGGCCTGAAGTTCTGGACTAATTGGACGAATAAAAAGTCCCCCCAGTTATTTGTGCATGGAATGTCTGCTGGCGTGCCAGGATTGATAGAGTTTCCTCTGCTTTGTGTGACACACACCCTGTTATTTTCCCAGGCTGATCCGCTGAGAAAATGTGCAGATCTGAATAAAGTGCACGTTCTCTGGAACATCCTCCGCAATGCACACTACTGCTGTGTGTCATCAGGCTTTACATACTACATGGAGCATACACTGTGTTTCTTCCGACAATGACCAACACAACTACACAAATACTACATACACACTGTGCTTCTTCCGACAATGACCAACACAACTACACAAATACACACTGTGCTTCCGACAATGACCAACACAACTACACAAATACTACATGGAGCATACACGCTGCTCTTCCGACAATTACCAACACAACTACACAAATACTACATGGAGCATACACACTGCACTTCCGACAATTACCAACACAACTACACAAATACTACATGGAGCATACTGCATACACACTGTGCTTCTTCCGACAATGACCAACACAACTACACAAATACACACTGTGCTTCCGACAATGACCAACACAACTACACAAATACTACATGGAGCATACACGCTGCTCTTCCGACAATTACCAACACAACTACACAAATACTACATGGAGCATACACACTGCACTTCCGACAATTACCAACACAACTACACATATACTACATGGAGCATACACGCTGCTCTTCCGAGAATTACCAACACAACTACACAAATACTACATGGATCATACACACTGTGCTTCCGACAATGACCAAAACAACTACACAAATACTACGAGTAAAATACACAGTGTGCTTCCGACAATTACCAACACAGATACTACATGGGACATAAACACTGTGCTTCCGACAATTACAAACACAATACTACATGGAGCATACACACTGCTTGTCCGACAATTACCAACACAACACACAGATACTAGATGGAGCATACACAATAGGCTGCTTCCGACAATTACCAACACAACTACACAGATACTACATGGAGCATACACAATGCACTTCTGACAATGACCAACACAACTGCACACATACTACATGGAGCATACACACTGGGCTTTCACTGACAAATCACCAACACAACTACACAATACTATAAGGATCATACACACTACACCTCTTCTGACAATTCCCATGAAAACTACAGTCAAAGCAAAGGTCACCATACCAGTGTGCAGCTCTATAGGGGCCCATTGGTACTAGATATGGGTCAGACAGGTGGGTGGGTGATCAGACACCTTCCAATGGTAAGACCCGGACAGGCTCTTCTAGCTGTCAC